TGTCAACTGTTAGAAGGAAAGTCATAACATGCACATGGGCTGAAACCTTGCGGCTTTGCGGACAACACTATGTCAACCAAGAATTCTCCAACGATAACGCGATATGTCAATCAGTGCTAGTTCCTCCTTGTGGACGCTGATCGACGCATCAAAAACAAAACCTGATGTGAGATGGCCCAGCACCCTTTGCATTTCTTGCCGCAAGGGCGGTCCCAGCATACACACCAGATCTGAAGATCCACAGCATAGATTGGGTTATTCCCTCTTACAGTAACAGTTACCACAAGGGGTATTGGAATTATAATAGCCCCTTAATGAGGCCCCCTTTAAGGACAGTTACTGGGTGGGGGAATGACCCAGAGCATAGATAACAAAACCTCAGAAACATAGACACAGCACAAAAACTAATTCTGGTGGGGGGGCATCCATCAATCTGTGGCCCTCACAACATAGGGCCGCACGGAGAATATCGACAGCGACAGAGTCCGCTCACTTGGGTGGCGCTAGCAGAGAACCCACCTGACTCAACCAAAAAAATGCAATTCCTAGACCCACAATCTAAACCCTAAACCCTGAACCCCTAAACTCCCAAAACCCTGAATCCCTAAACCCTAAAAGTGTCAACAAACACGGACGATGCAAGGCCTCTTCGAGGGTCCCAGGATCGCACGGGCCCTTGGCGTGCAAAGAAATGGTTCTTCCTACCTTTGGGTGTTTCCCAAAATCAGGGGTACCTTTACAGAAGTATATGAGGTCTTTATACGGATGTATAGGGGTTATGCAAGGTTTAGGGTTTAGAGTTTTCCAAAATTAGGGGTACCCTTTTTTGGTCTCAAAGTGCAGGTTATATCATTCTGGGGTCTATCTCGGGGTTCCCCCATTTCAGACTATGACCTGTTGCAAAGTCAAGATCTGCGGCAAGTTAAAGTCTGGAGTTTAGGGTTTAGGGTTCATTTTTGACTGGGGAAATTTGGTGTATCAGGGTGCGCAATACACCCTAACGCTGTACGCCCAATTTGCGTGCAGGTCTGGTAAGCAATGATTCATGCTGGCCTCTTGGCACCCTACAGTACACCCAACAAGACTAGTCACAAATGTGGGGGGCGTCTCGAAGCAGAGCACCCCAGCGAAATGTAGTAGCTAACCCGAGATTGCAAAATAAAATCTCCAAGTGTTTGCAAAACGGGGACAGCTTTGAGAAACTTCTATATCATGCGTCTTCAGACAAGTGTTCGGTGGCAGCTCTGCAGGCGCCCGGTCTGTGGGACTCTGTTTCTTAACAGTGAAAAGCTGACGAAGGTTAAGAGCAACTGTTAATGCCACTTATGACTTATGACTTTGAGCAAGACGATGCAGAATTCGATCCAAAATAAACCCTATATAACCCCTATATAACCTCTATAATCCCTGTAGTTTCCATTTTATTTTCCATCATCCCAATATACCCCTAATATAACCCCAACATAACCTCCCAATTTTGTGAACACCACAACCTTGGTCTTTTGCAGCTTCCGTTCGATGAACACTTGTCAGAGTTGGAGCGACAACAGGCCGACAGGCAGCTTCCTTTCACACTCAGAAGTGGGCATCATGGAACAACACGATCCTGCCACAATGAAACGGAAGCCCTACGCCTTCTCCTGCATTTTGTACCTTTCTCATTCAAACTTGTGGAGAAAAGCGCTCGAGGCCCAAGCCAGCAGAAAGGCTCCGGAGGCATCTTGCAGGCCTAGCAGCTGTGCGAAGTTGTTCAGGTCTCAAGTGTTAGGGTCTATGGCTGAGTGTTTCTTAGGGGCACCCAGTTCGGCCAGTTCGGGATGTGGCATCTCCGATTCCGATTCTGAATATAACCCCGAAAACATGCCTTGTGGATCCCCCACAAAGCCCTGAGCCTTTCCTGAAGCAGCGGCACTCTCGGCCAGGGCAGTTGACTCTCCCGAACTTCTTCGGATCAGTAGTGGAACAGGCCCAGGACCTCCTATTATGCAACCCCCTGTAGCCCATGAAGTTTCTCAGCTATCTCACTTTCAAGCTGCTTGCGCCCATGGTATGAGAAGAACACGCCTTAATGTCCTATGCTGTGCTCTACCTATCTAAACCACCATATTTCACTAAAGTGCTCTATACCAGACTATAGTATTACTGCACTGCGCTATAAGTACTATGCTACTATGCAATACTGTACTGGACCTCACTGAATTCGGCTCTAGTACATCGGACTAAATGGCGACATATGATTTAACATGTGCCATATGGTGGACCAAACCCCACCAAAACTGTCTACTGTACCATATCAGAATACAGGAGACATGATATGATATATGACATCTGAGCGATGGTCTAAACTCCTAGTATCCCCCTGAATAATCCCCATAATAGTCCCTTGTATATTCCCCTATATGTCCCCTACACAACTCCTTTTAAGAAGTTTAGACTATAGCTCATCTGACTGCTTTGTGCTAAGGGCATCTGAAAGTTCAGGTCCAGGCTCGGGCTGGCGTCTGGCAGCTCCTCACACGACTCTGCAATAGATTCACGTTATGATGCATTATGTACCCAATAGGACATAGTCCGCTGAGGCCAGAGGCCTGGGACGTTTAGATCAAGGTCCGGAGATAAGAAAAGTGAGTTAACCCTCCCCCGACCCCCTCCCAGTGGGCACGATTCCGGGGTGGGTGTTCAGCAGAACGTTCCGTGACGGGATTCCCCACTTCGCGAACACGGTTTTCGCTTCTGTGGAGTGCAAGGTAATGGGCATGCTTTGGTGGCAGGTTGTTGCAGCTACTGGAGCAACAACAACAACAACAACAGCAGCAGCAGGCATGTTTCCTGGCAATCAAAGACTTAAAGACCACCACGATCCAACTCGTTTGAGAAAGGGAAGCCTCACATTGCGGAACCCTGCCCTAAGTGTGTAGGCAGAAGCACGCGAGGCCCAAGCCAGCAAGAAGGCTCCGGATTCGTTCTGCAAGCCTTGCGAGTGTGGGAATGTTAGATCTCAGGATGTCTCAGGGTCTTCGGGCTCAGCGTTGGTTTGGGGTGTCACTGAGCGCAGTTCGGGATATGGCGTCTCCGACCCTGACCCTGACTCGAGCCCCAGAAGAGCGCTCGAGCCTCTCTTCCCGAACAGTGGAACCCTCTGCTGGCCCTTTGCCAGAACCACTGGCTATCCCAGAACCCGGTACGCAATTCTAGCTAATCTCACGCCCTTGAGAACCCAAGCGTCCAAAGAAATCTTATCCTTAAGGAGCCTTTCGCCAGCAGCTTTCTGCATTTCAACATCTGGGATCCGTGCTGAGCCATGGAGCCTCCTGCAATCACGAAAGGTTTCAGGGAAGCTCTCATTCCAGCATATTCCAGCAGCATCTCAGGCTCAAAATCCCGTCAATCTCAAGTAACCATGTTAATGAAGCCGTCGAAAAAGCGCGCACACTAGTGTGCATTGAGGGTGGGTTCATGCTTCTTTGGGAGGTGCACGCAAGGCGCTAGATCATGCTTCTAAACTTACTGTGGGCTAGTGCATTTTATAGGCATTACATAGGGATATGTCCCCTATTGCCTACTAACCCCCCGTAAAAGCGAGGTTCTGTGTGGCATCTGCGGCCTCCGCCCAGCTGCGGCGCACCTGACAAAGCAATCTCTGGGGGGGAAGCCCAGGCTTGATAATCCAGTTTGGGGTTTAGCGTTTAGGGTTTTAGGGTTTAGGGTTTTGGGGTTTAGGCATTTGGGGTGTTGGGGTTTTGGGGTTTTAGGGTTTTAGGGTTCTAGGGTTGCAGGGTTGTAGAGTTTTAGGGTTTGGGCTTACTGGTTTTTAGTGGGGCATATGAGAGTATAGCATATAGTAATTTTGTCCAATTCCTTTGCTCCCTGTAGCAAGTTTGGGGTTCGGAGGTTAGGGCCCAAATGACACTCGCTTCCAGGTTAGGGGGGCTCTCCCATTTGCTTTGCCTCTTTGTGCCCCACCCCCGCGCCCCCCCAACCCCTCTCAACCCAGCGTTGCCAGACATAATTGCTTTGCCATGTCTGGCGGCCCGGCTGCCAAACCCAGATGCAACTAGCGCTTACAATTGCACTACGATTCCTGTAAGATGCCATATCATCTGAAGGACACTACCCAAAAAACAGATAAGCTGGGCAGTGCTTTCGTGGAGCGGAGCCTCTTCGCAGAACATTGCGCGGCTTGCCAGCAAACGGCCAGACAAGGCCCAAAGAGGTCAGCCACCTTCGGCCTGAACGCCCTGACTTTGTGGCTCTAGCCAGAAACGGTTGGCGGCACAGACTGCAACATGCTGACGTTGAACTTCGTTGTGGCCTCCGGGAATCTGGTTGGAGTTTGCCTAACTTGTCCCAAAGTTGGGAAGTGGCATGGGGACCCGCATGATTTTCAGAGACCGCATCAGCATTTTAGCAAGCCCCCGTTGACTGGGCTAACGACAACTGAGCCAACAATACAGAAATTGAGGCTTTACAGAGCTCCAATATGCGGGCACAAAGTGCTTGGTTGGGTAAAGTCGATTTCTACCGTGACGTGCTGATGACAACACGGCAAAGCTGCTTACTGCTGGACCTTGGCTTCGGAGCCATTATCACAGAAACGGTGTCGCCCCAACTCAGCAGTGCTGGTGGTCTGGCGTGGTCTGGCAACTCTGAAGTCAAACCGCTCTGCTTTGGTCTTTTTTTGACACTGAAGTTGAAAAACTGACCTGTGATGCGCCGCCAACTCTGAAAGCAGAACTGCTGATGCTGTTGGCCGACAGATCCTATGCAAACAAATACGTGTAACCTGCCACGCAGCACCAAAAGCAAATACCAGCTCGCTTTTGCGCAACGACTGACTGCGTCAAACTGTCCTGTGACTGCATAAAGCAATCTAAAAACTAAACATTGACCGTCTGCACTACTCTTATTGCACCCTGTACAGGAGCTTTGTGAATAGAGAAGCAATTGGCCCAGCTGGCAAACTGTTTCACTTTGCAGGCGCTTCAATTCCTGGCAGGAACTCACACGCCCACGAACTGAAACAACTTCAAAGGAAAGGGAGGATTCACGGACACTGCCCTCACAAACCCCCGGCCGCTGGTGACAACCATCACCCCTGGCGCTTCAGGCACTTCTCGATGTTCTCGATGTTCTCGATGAACACAGGGGTCGGCACAGAATGCTGAGGCCTGGCGCGCAAGCGTAACACAACACAGATCAGGCTTGGACCGTGAGGGGACAGGCGCCGGGGGCAGGGCCCTGCATCTGCGAGTTTTGCGACCACTTGGCTTCACAGT